ACTGTTTATAGAAAATTCACTTCAATGAATTTTGATTTTGGTAACAGTAGAAGTCAGAGACGCGCCTTGCCCAGTCCAAATTCAAAACACGCTTTCTTGGTGAGAACGGTTCTATTATTAATCAAAAAAGGAATGTAGACAATTACCTAAACAATATTATACTTTTCGGATCCGAAATTAACACAATGAGTTTCCAATTCTGCAAGAATGCGTCCTTCCAGTCAAGTATACGAAGTTACTGCAGAAGTATCAATCCGATATGACTGTAGCCATATTAAGTATCAATTTAAACAACACATTTACAGTTTAGAAGGAACATATAAACTCCAATAAAAGTACAAAAGATAGGAATTGTAACTAAATACAAATATTAACATCCCAAATTGGGACTAAACAGAGTACCGAAATATTGAACAGAAAGAGTCAGCAAGATCATAACACAAATACATACATGGAGGGATTTTCCAAAAAGCGAAGCCTTCAAAATGGATTCTACAGTCATCTTAAAATGTTATGCGGAAATTCAATTAATGGTTGATTCCACAGAACATCCATTTGTTCGTACATATTGAAGTCAGATCCCCGGTCACTAAAAATATCACTTTAACATCGAATCAGTTTGCTTTTCCTGCTACTTTGTAGCGATCTACATAATCTATAGTACTTCAGTTCTTTTGAATCTTCTCTATGCGTACAGTCATTTTTCCATTCCTTTTTATACTAGTGAATTGTTTTAACTGGTCTACAAAATTGCTGTTTTAGAATAAGTAATCATTCAAGGAAAGAGAAAAGTTCATTAATCCTAACCCAACGTTTTAACCATAAATTCGTCAGTTCGATAGTAACCCAGCTCCAGGTCACAAATGTTTTCTGTCCAGCTTTGTCGCACATTTCTCTTTTCTTCCCTTTTTCTGCACCGTCGAGATGCACTAGTGAAAACACATGGAATGTATCACTTAGTCCTTTACCGCAAATAAAACTCTGACTTGCATTTGCTTATCCAAGAAATTTGTGAAACTCTTACCTAAAGGATGTCATAAGGAAAATCAATTTGGATTTCCCCACCGATTCATGTTATACTCTTCCATAGACTTGATTTTCTGTAATTCTGGACCACTAGTCATCCGTCGTAACACAACCGACATAATTCGCGCCAACTTTTGTATTACACATTCAAGTCTTTCTAATATTGTTTGTAATTTTATGACTCGTTTCTGTCTATGACTAGTTTATTTTATGAAGTATCAATGCAACTGATCAGTTTCCCACAGTAAATACAGTAGGATTTGTAACAGTTTGACGTCACCTGTGAGCCACCATGTAACATGTAATACATTTCAGTGGACACTGTTTTAAGGTTTCGTGGATTATAATGTAATTGACGTATCGATAGGACTTTGTGTTGATGCCACTAGTTTTGACTAGGTGTGCTGACTGTGGGATCGGTTTTAGTGTACTTCTGTGTTAATATGTGAATAATACCCTTTACCTTGATTCTTCTCAGTCACCATGTGCTTGTTTTTTTCGTGTTTGTAACGTTCCACATATTATTGTCTGTATTCACGTGTATTTCGTCTGTCTGTTGTTTTGATTGTGATTATCCTTTGTTTTCACAGTTCATGGTTAATTACTATTGTGTAAAATATAACATTTACTGTATCAGTTATCTGTCCCAGTCATTGTTAGTGAATAAATCTGTTTCTTAGGTTTTTGTTCATTCTTTGTCGGATCCGATTGTAAGATGTTTATTCCAGCAAAATGTACCATCTATCACAAATGTATGACATGATGATATGATACCAGCTTTCATTGTAGCTGAAAATCAGCCCATAATATAGATCCTTTCGATAACTGTAGACTCACTGAAACGTGAGTTCCAATCATCAACAACGTCGACAAAGAAAAACGAAGTTAGTTCAGTAGCGATAAGATATGGTCAAATAGGTAAATGGCCGCAACGATACATAACTACGAATTTGAATTAATAATTCCCTTCACCTCGGAAGTGAATTTCTTTTTCTGTTCCTTTTGTATATGTACATTGAAAATATTAACTTCTTTATTATTATATTCGACATATTTTGTATATTCCAAAATCAAAATGTATAAACTTCTAAAAACATTACCGTATTCTTTTGATGTTCAAGTATTATCTTATCTACCCTCACGGACGTATACAAACTCAAGTCTACGCATATTTGTAATAACTTAGACGATAGTTCTATCTCACATCCCAGTTTCGAAAAATTCGATATTTTCCGTTCTGTTCAACTCAGCGTAGGTTTCGCAAACTGTTATAACACTGTCTTAATTATTCCCAGCTAATTCCTATTGCTTAGTATTCTATGACCACAATACACTGGATAAGTTCCCAAATCGGAACACGGTGGAACAGGAAAAAGATTATATTCCAAATAGCAAGGTTAATTGGAAATAAGGAGCCGAAGCGGGGTGAAGGCGAAGGGGAATAGAGACAACGTTAGTATCTTTATAGTTTTTACATGAGAAGTTTCTGGAATGTAATCCACGTGGTTGACTAGCACTGACCAGATTAGATTTGGCCAATCAGCATGCAGCTAACAACAAGAGAATTTTGTAGCCTGTTCTCCAAGTATGGTCCAGGAGCTGATTGGATTGGAAATTAGCCAATCAGCGTGCAGCTAACGCAGTCATGTTTTAATCTATCTATGTCCCACTGACACGAACCCGTACACTACTCTGTATCTTTGTAAGCTGAGCAGCTATTGTAGTACCGCATATAAATTTGTATTTGTTTATGTTTAATTTGTTTAATCTTTTTTGTTAACTTATTTAACAGATAGAATTATTTGTATAGTAAAAACTTGTCCGTACCATTATGCTCTTATTATTGTCGCATTTTCATGAGCCTTTATAATCGAGCATTGCTTACCGCCGACACGCACATATACATTCTATTCGCTTTAATGTTAGTCGTTTAAATAATCCGCAAATCACTTTCTTAAGTACGTATATACATATGTATATTTTGATCCTGCTAACTGGCTCGCTAGCTTGCTTGCTCTTCGGCAATCTTGTGTCATTTTCATTTTTGCGTCGCGTGCCTGCGGTTTTGTGATCTGTATGTAGTACTAAAATAAAAGTAATCAACACTTCGTATTGGTCTTCTGAATTGTATATACCGTTAGGCTTTATCTAGTAAAGATTATAAGGATGAGCAGTGTATGAAGTCTAAGGAATTATATCGAATACCAACCGCCACAAAGCTGATAAGACCTCATCCACCACTGTACAATGCCAATTCATACTGCATACTTCAGATTCGCGTTCTTCTTTGTGTCTTATCCTCATTGAATTGAGATTAGTCGTATTAACTTAGATTACTTCAAATTCACATCTTGTGTAGATTCACAAATGAATTTACGCAACCGGAGGAAATTATCCTTCAGTAAGTCGCCAGCGGAAGCAGATTATTTAGAGTGTTTTAAATTCTTGGTGTTTGTTACATGACATTGAGAAATATATTGCGTTTCAGTACACTTCATAACTCCAATTGATAATGTAGTAAATCCAGTTTTAGGAAGAGAAGAGTGTGATGGAACGCTTCTACGAAGAAAATGCGATTTGTGAAAAATAAAGATCATCGTACTCGTTTTGTCTAACTGTACCAAAAACACTTCTTCGACTTCTTGCGCGCAACGTTCTCTTCGCGTTGCTGCCATTTTTCTAAATGCGCTGCTCCCCATGTAATGCCTACTGTCTCCTTCAATAAAACCTTGGAGCATGGATTTATTTTGATTTCAATGATGGAAGGGTATTATGGAGCATTTAGTGGTGAGCATAGTCAATCTGGTATCTTGACTCGCTCACTACAAGAGTATTAGTTTAATAAAAACTTTCGTTAGTATAAGCGATTGTACCAGTAAATGCTTAACCGTACTTTTTGTTTATAATACGCTTCACGCGCAAACTTTCTGTTTGTGTAACTGACATTTTTAGCTCTACCAGCTCTGTAAATTCGCGTGACTTTCCTTGCTAGATTTAGGTAATCTTTCGATACCACGAAATTGCCAGTAAATATATTCTTTACCATGGATTTATTTGTCTTCTTAGTGACGGGTTCTTAATTAGTATTTAGTGGTGTTCATAGTACAGTCTTTCTCATACCACTTCCATTAACTAACAATTTTACTATCTATTGGGGTTAGACACAGTTTCAGAGCAGAACAAGAAACCGATTGTTTTCATTTCGAGACAGTTAAACAGGAAGTGAACAAGGCTGTTGTCAGACCGAAAAGGATGCTGCAACTGTGTGGTCTTAGTAGTAAGAAGATTCCATAAATACATGGTTGGTGCAAAATTCCATATTGTAACTGATCGTCCGGGCGTTAAAGCCGAAATCACCAACCACTCCATTGACTATCGGCAACAAACCATGGTTCGAAGATGGAATCTAAGATTTTCCCATTGAACGCCTAGTGGTTAAAAGAGTAACACGTGGAAACTTCCTGTCACAGTATTCATACATTGAAAAGGCCACCTAAACAAAGTGACATTCACAAGCACTTAAAACTGAATAGTGGTGAATACGTTTCTTGTACAATTAAACATTTTATATATAATGTGTGTTTAAATTTCGCTTAATACCACCAATCCATACTGAGTGCTTCGAATTCAAGTTCTTCCTTGAAATTTTGTCCAAGTTTTTGGCTACATACTGATTATTCATTCATGTTCAGTTCGATGAGTGAAAACAACAAAAAAAATACTTGACACAATGTTAGCAGAAAAAAAAAACTTTCACAAACTCCATCATCATTCTCGTCAATCAAATCAGAACACAAACTTACGAATGATAATCAATACAACTGTCACGTGACTTGACTGACTGATTTTAAAATAATTCCTATGGAAATATGTATTGGATAAATACACTTTTAGAAGTGTATATATAAAATTCATTTCTGTACTTACTAACTAACTCACTATAACTCGTTTAAAAACAATAAGTTAGGCCGACAATGCTTGGACCATCCTATTTTAATGAATACATTAACTCACAAGAATCACCAATTGAGAATATCAGTAATACACAGAATAATAATAATAATAATCGTAAGAAAAATTTTCTGACAAAATTTATGCGAGCGTTTCGTTTTATTCCTGGCGGTAAAACTAATCGAAATTCCAATGAATTTCAGTTAGAAGAAGTAGGAGTAGAACTTCACAACCACAACCACCAACAACAAGAACAAGAACCACAACATGACGACGACGACGAACAGCAGCAACACCACGAACAACAGCAACCACAACAACAGTCAGGAAAATGTTCCACTACGAAACTATCGAACGAATCATCCACATGTATGGAAGAAGTGATCCCTATGGAAGAAGAGATCATCAACAACACTCATGAAATCACATATTCATTTGATGTTGCAGAATCACCGATCACAACAACAACAGCAACGACAACAACAACAACCACACCGCCAATGCCACAAAAATCTCCTACTAAAATTCTATCGGAAGAACGAGATTTTATTAAGTTAGTTCTAGAAGATGATCAACATCAACATCCTCCTCCTCAAACAATGTTTAACCAATTGGCTAATGGTGATACACAAGCAATAGAAATGATTAATGATATGCCCGCGATGATTGGTGGTGATGTTCCACCGATGATTGGTGGTGATGTGCCATCGATTGTTTAATACAACAGGTATGGTTGTTTGGAGTAGATGGAGAAGGAGTAGAAGGAGACGGAGGAGGACGACGACGAGAAAGTGGTAACATGAATGAAATTTACACTTGAGACTATTTTATATTAATATTATGTTTAAATTATTAAATGTAACATTTTAAGTGAGTACTTGAAAATTTGAGTTCTTCTTTCGTCGTGTTTTTGTTGTGTACAAGGTTGAATGAGGGATTATTTGTATAAAACTCAGTAGTTTTTATCAAATGTTCTAAGCTATCTAACAGAAAATATAGAGTGCTACAATCTAAAGCATGATTTGTGAGTTAACAGACGATAAAAAAGTAGTCTGTTATCAATGTTTAGTGAATGGTGAGAATGGTATTTCTCTTTCAGTATTGATTTGCATTAGATTCTTTGCTTAGCTTCACATACTGCTTTGATAAATATGAAAGACTACATGCTGATAAGATGATAACTTAGAAGAACTCGGTCGAGAATAATCAGTCACCAGTGAAGAAGCTCTAGGAGAAGCTATGTGTATTGCTTATTACACTGATAGAATATTTGCACGAATTAGATATCCATCTTACTTTTACATGAAAATCTATGTACCCTACTGTATTCATGAAACTCTGTTTAAGCTTCTTAGGAGATGCTTTTTTGAATAGTTTCGCTTTATTATGGCTCCGCCTGGGGTACCTCTAGGACTATTGACTGTCCCAAGCCAGGATAAAGGAGGAGGGTCAAGCGTAGGGTTGGCAACCCCGTCCCTTAGAAAACTAACTCGCTAAAATAAAATCGCTAACCAGGAAAATCATTTGAAATCATTTAAATTGTCCTGGGAATTAGAAGTGTGGTGTGAGCTACTTATAAGTTGTATATGACGTAAGTGAAAACGTAATGTCTGGCAGCAGAAGAGGGGGGAAGATCAAGAAAGGAAGAGTGGGAACACAATGCAATTTGTATGAAACGCATGAATAGTGACAATGGATTGATGTTTTACAACAGGAACAGTCCAGTTCGATATGATGAACTGATATTTTGCAAATGAACTATTTACGATATGGTTTTCCGATTTTACCGAGTAACTCTGTAATTTTCGCCTGATACAATCCGGTTGCCCCACCTGTGTTCTCGCTCACTACAGAAGGTCTTCATTCATAGAGAAAAGTTATGACGTCTCATGATGAAAGCTGAGTTCATTAGGGTTTCGCGAGGCTGATGCTACTTCTGACAACCACAGCAACCGTTCTTTTAGGCACATCGAATATTCAAACAATGTGGGAAGTCGGAAATGGCGTACAATGAGATTGCACATTCTCCTTCTAACTTAAATAAACTTAAGTGCCTGAAAACTAACCTTATTTCTTTTTAGCACAGATTAAAGTAACATTAACGTGATGCAAATTATTATGTGCTCACTAGTGGCTGGCTAGTTCAGTGAGGAAGTTTCTCCGACTTCTAGTCGGAAGTCATGAACAGTGGAGTTCAATCCTGTCGGATATAGAAAATAACTACCGTAGACAATAAATAGGGTTTCGCAAGATCGTAGATCGATCAAAGTTAGATAATAGCACTGTCGGATGCTGACTACAGTTCCTGGGTGTCCGATCCCCTCATCAAGACAGTTTGGTATGCACTGCCATGATGAGTCTCATACAAGGGCGAAACAGAAATCATTCAGTGAGTGCTTCCAGATTTTTAATGATTGTCTAAGATTGATCGATTCATTCAATGCAAAACACTATTTACTTCAAATGCAACGTGTAACGTGTGATTATTTTTATTTGTGAATTAGTAGAAAAAAATAGAAAATGTAAGTTCATTCATATCATTAAATCAAAATACTAGTTACAGTTATTTAAGAAAATGGAATTTCATAGTTTTAATTTTACCGCCCCACATAAATTTATATACTTTTGACGTCAATAAATTATCATCATTAGTTAAATGTTCAAAATTCAATAAATTGTAATTGTCAGAAACACGTATTATCAACTAATTATAGTAATATTCCACAATTACAGAGTTACTCAGTAAAATCGGAAAACCATATCGTAAATCGTTAATTTGCAAAATATCAGTCCATCATATCGAACTGGATTGTTCCTGTTGCAAAACATCAATCCATTGTAACTATTCATGCGTTTCATACAAATTCCATTGTGTTCTTCTAACTCTTCCTTTCTCTTGATCTTCCCTCATCTTCTGCTGCCAGACATTACGTTGACACTCACGTCATATACTACTTATAAGTAGGTCGCACCACGGTATAATGAATGACGTATACACTGAGTAGCTAAACAATTATTGGGCATTCTAACTTTGACTATTTGAAAGCAAACAGAACTACTGTAATCTGTTTTGGCTTACAAAGCATTACTTTATTATAATCTGTAATAGATAGTGTAGGCTGATACGGTGAAATTGTTTTAGGATAGGTTTTGATATCTATAACACAGAATGTGTCATGCAAATTTATTGTACATAAAATTTTTCAAGTGATGATATGTTTGTGTGATTGCATTCGAATGTTTCGTCTGAAGACTTACAATCTAGATAGTGCAATTTCTTGTGTCAAAGATCACTCTAAACCTCCATGGTCCATTTACTATCATTTATATTCAAGGTCAGTTAAGTGTATGAACATATTCAAACTATTCTGCATAGTTTTCCCTCTGCATTTGGACGGCCTAATGTCAATCAGATGGTTCAATTAGTTGTTGTTTCATGAATTATTAAGTAATCTTGCAATTCTCTACTCTTGATTAGGCAAAAGCTCATTTAAATATAATTTAATCATTTCAAACCAAATATCGCTCCTAAAAAAGAACATTGACATTTGATTTTCAGCGGTCTATTCGATCGGTATTCCTACAATTTTTGTAGATTTTATTTATCAGCAACTATTGTGACATAATGAAATTGAAATTTATCTTTAGAAAAAGACTGATGACTTTCTTTGAATACACAGTTTCTAAATCTAAAGGACTCAGGTCATATATAATAACATAATTGTGATGGGAAGAAAACCCAGTATAGAGTACACGATCCTTCGAAGAAAACAGACAATTTTAACCAGTCAGCTGACATAAACTGTCCATCAATCTCATGTTGATTTTTTTCAATCCAAAATAAGAAAATCTCCCAGAATCCGATGACAGCATGTAGAAACATGCAGTATGTGGTTAATTCATCAGAGATACAAAACTGATTTGTTAAATCAATCATATTTTACACAACACATTCTAATCATCGGCAAATGTATCGAAAAAAGTTATTTTTATGCGTTTACCTACTCATGAGTAGGCAAATATTTTAGTCGAATTTTATATCACAATGTATGTTGAATAAAATATTGAACTTTCGAGGCGGCATTTGACTCTATGGATCGTGAGGTTCTTTGGCAGTGTCTGACATTAAAAGGTGTACGAAAGAAGAACATCAACCTCATACAAGCTCTTTACTCCAACAACAATGGTCGAGCGAGTGCCTATGGCGAACTGCCAATGGAATTCTCTACTTCAAGTGGTGACCGTCGGGGATGTTCACTCTCTCCATTCTTGCTGAACTTTGTCGTAAACATCCTCTTAGAGTTAACATTAAGCTCGTCAGATTTTTCAGAGGTAGACCTTCTACCAAGAGGATTGCATAATGATCTAGAAGATGCCGATGAAGTACTCCTACTTGGTGAAGACGCTGACAAAATGCAGAGTCTTACCATAAGCAACAATGCAAGCATGATCGGCATGCGGTTCTCACCCTCGAAATGCGAAATGTTGCTTCGAGATTGGGTGAACTAGTGATAGGAAGTGAAGTAGTTGAGCGTGTAGACCGCTTCACTTATCTGGGGAGTCTCATCAGTGCTGATGGACTGGTGACTGACGAAATCTCAGCACGGATACAGAAACCTCGATTGGCCTTTGCCAACCTGAGTCACTTATGGTGCACGCGAGATATCCGCTTGTTAACTAAAGGACGAGTATACTGCGCAGCAGTTTACTCCATTATCCTATATGGATGCGAAACATGGCCGGTAAGGGTTGAGAATATTTGTAGGTTATTAGTATTCGATTATTGATGTCTTAGAAGTATTGCTCGTATATCGTGGGACAACCGAGTAAGCAATGCTGCTATTAGGAAACGAGTTCAAGGTAAGAATGGCAGATCAATAAATGAAGTATTGAAACTTCATCAGTTGAGGTGGTTGGGATATGTGTTACGTATATCCAACCAGCGACTGCCTCGATGAGCAATTTTTTGTGGTGAAGGAGTAGGTTGGAAGAAAGTTAGGGGTGGCCAAACCAAAACATGGCAGAAATCCATGAAGTCACTGACGGGTGAACTGAGTCATGTTGGTAGATGTAGGCTACTACCTGGTTGGGGTTTGGTGTGACGATAGTAACCGATTGTCAGAGACCTTGAATGACATGACTCGAAATCGTTTGCAATGGCTCAGTCGCATCCACTCGTTGTGTTCTCTCAAATCCTAATCTTCTCGATTCACCAACATCTCTACCTTTGTCATTCTAAACTTATCTCACTGAATTATACTTCTTGAATAATATCTTCTCTCCCTAATCTTATCCATTACCAGTAGTACTCCAACTATTTCTACCACTATGGGATTTGAATTGACAATTGCATCTCTGTGCTAATGTGGTATAGCAACATGAAATGATGTACTTACGTTCGAAGTTCCACGTTCAGCTGACTAACTGACATATACATATATATTTACATGGTTTGTAGTAAACAAAACGAACATAAAATAAAAGTCATCAGTCCTTTATATTTCATTTTACAAAAAATTCACAAAAAATAATATCTAAATAGTTTCTGTTTAGTTATATATATATATATATACAATGATCATTATTAACATACAAAAGACAACTACTACTACTCATCATCATCATCATCATCATCATCATCATCACATTAACCGAAATGAATTCTCAGTCATCAAAAAATAAGCAACACACACACGCATGCACTGTTTATTACGGCTGAAAACCATGATTGATTTGTTCATGGAAAGTGTTCCCAGTGGTTTTCTTCTCCGGTCGCATAGTTGATTCAACCATTTGTGTTTGACCAAAAACAAAAGCTTTCAACCATATGGATGGATTGTTTGAATAAAATTGACGCCTTTCATATTTTGGTAAATTTTTCATCAGCATACGTACAGTCCACCAAGTGTCGGATGTTAAACGCCACAACAATGCTGGAATATTGGCTATGAAAACAGTTAATGGGAAAGCGAACCAAAATTCAGGACTTCGACATAATTGACTATAGATCTGATATTCATTACTGGTCGTTGTAACAAATGTCTGTGGAATAAGGAGGAGGTGATCAATATTTAGAAGAGATATATTAGTTAAATATATATGGAAATATTTAGAGTGATGAAGTAAATTTGTAGATCAAGTGGATGAATGTAAAATGGAGTTTCGATTGCGGAGCTTTCATCATTGTTCTTCTGCTCGACAACAACAACAACAACAACGTCATCAGCACAAACTTCAGGTAGGAGAACTGAGGTATTCGAATTCCCTCACGTTTGTTCTGTTAACCTAGATCTTGATTGATTATTAATGACCTGAGACTCGTCGTCTTCTGAACTTTTAATTTGACTGTGACCTACAGTGGTCTGTTTCTTGATCTTATGTTTGCCTATAGTTTTTCTGATTGGAAATTGTGGCAAGATTAGTGAAACCATTTGAAATAGGTGTAGTCATATACCAAATCAAAAGACAAAATGACAAATGAAGAAGAACCAAACATCACCGACAAAAGTAACTGCTCAGACTGTGAAAAACAACTACATAGGAAAAAGTGGACGTCCTGTTCAGCTTCATCTGTGTGTAGATCAATTAGCAGTCTAATGCTAGGACATTTCTTCCCTTATAACAAAATACCCAGACAACTGTGGACATACATTCGATTGGGAAAATGTGAAAATACTGAATAGAGGGAGTACAAAGAACACTAGAGAACATTTTAGAAATTTGACACCCAAGTCTATCAACAATCAACAAACACATTGACATCGACTAAATGCGTCATCTTCTCTTGCATTTGTTGTTGAGTGTGCGATAGAAGAGCCAGGTCATCTGCGAAGTCCAGATCGTCCAGCTGCGTCCTAACTGTGCAGTTGATACCGTGCTTCCCTCCAGATGCGGACGTCTTCATAATCCAGTCAATGACCAGGAGAAAGAGAAAGGGTGAGAGTAAGCAACCTTGCCTCACACCGGTCTTCACCTCGAAAGAGTCTGTCAGCTGACCTCCGTGCACGATTTTGCAGTTGAATCCGTCATAAGAATTCCGTATGATTTTAACTATTTTCTCATGCACATCGTAGTGTCAAAGAAGCCTCCACAGTGTTTTCCTATCCACTCTGTCGAATGCTTTCTTGTAGTCGATGAAGTTGATGTAGAGTGGTGAGTTCCATTCAATTGATTGTTCCACAATGATCCGTAATGTAGCAATTTGGTCAGTACACGATCGATCCTTACGAAATCCGGCCTGTTGATCTCGAAGTTGGGCGTCTACAAAGTCCTTCATTCTGTTTAACAATACCCTGTTGAAGACTTTGCCTGGTATTGAAAGAAGAGTGATTCCTCTGTAGTTCTCACACTTGCTGAGATCGCCTTTCTTTGGTACTTTGATCAGGTATCCTTCTTTCCGATCTGATGGCACTTGTTCCTCATCCCACATCTTCTTGAAGAGGATGTGAAATATTTTTGCAGTTGCTTCCACATCTGCTTTCATTGCCTCTGCTGGAATGTTGTCTGGTCCTGCTGCTTTGCCACTCTTGATTTTTCTAATGGCCATACCGATCTCCTCAATCGTAGGTGCGCCAATATTAATTGAGAGGTCCATGGATGCTGCTTTGATGTTGGGTGTGTTCAGTGGAGCTGGTCGATTCAAGAGTTCCTGAAAGTGCTCTACCCACCTTCTTTGCTGTTCTTCAGTGTTGCTGATTAACAGAACAAGCTACGGGTCAAACGTGAAAAAATTCGAATACTTCTGTTCTCCTACCTGAAGTTTGTGCTGCTGCTGATGATGTTGTTGTTGTTGAGAAGAATAAACAATGATGAAAGCTCCACAACTGAAACATTCTCAGTTCAGAGAATGAAACTCCACCACAAATGGAAACATCGTTAGAATGTATGTAAGCAGTCTGTCAGTGAGACACTGTAAAGTTTCAAATATGTTGGAATAATTGTGGCTTAGTGTAACTTTAGAGATAGTCTTTACGTTCGGTCAAATGTAAGAACTCTCACTAGGCGCTGTCTGATGAACGATTTCATTGAATGAATAAAATCGATGGTCATAGTGTTATAGTGCAGTCTTTTTATTGCAATTACTTACTTACTTACGCCTGTTAACCCCAATCGAGCATAGGCCACCCACCAAATTCCTCCGTCCAACTCTGTCCTGGGCTTCCCTCTCCAGTTCTGTCCAATGTTTGTTCATTCCTCTCATATCTTTCTCTATTTCTCGGCATAATATGTTCCTTGGCCTTTCTCTTTCCCTTTTGCCTTGAGGGTTCCATGTGAGGGCTTGTCTCGTGATGCAGTTAGGTGCTTTTCTTAGTGTGTCCTATCCACTTACACCGCTTCTTCCTCATTTCCTCCTCCACTGGAATCTGGTTTGTTCTCTCCCAAAGTAAGTTGTTGCTGATGGTATCTGGCCAACGAATACGAAGTATTTTGTGTAGACAACTGTTCATAAATAATTGTATCTTCTGGATGATGGCTTTGGTAGTTCGCCAAGTTTCCGCTCCATACAGTAGAACTGTCTTCACATTTGTATTGAAAATCATGATTTTGGTTTTGGTTGAAAGTTGTTTGGAGTTACAGATATTTTTCAACTGTAGAAATGCAGCCCTAGCTTTGCCAATCCGTACCCTCACATCTGCATCGGATCCACCTTGATTGTCGATGATGCTGCCCAGATATGTAAAGGTGTTAACGTCCTCCAAGGCATCTCCATCAAGAGTGATTTGGTTGGTGCAATGGTTTTCTGTTATTATTATTGCACAAGAAATGGAATCTTTTTGAATTTAGATTACTGATTCTAAGGATTGATAAGTTGCCGTGAAGATTGTTTATTGAACTACAGAAAATTTTACAAAGAATTATCGTCTGCTAAGAGATTTTCTAAACTTACGGAAATTCGTACTTGATTTCAAAAAGTAAACACTAGTATTTAAGAGTAATTTACCCGATATATGTATATGTCAAATAGTTTTTGAAATAAATGATCTAACTGTATTAAACTAGGCATTGTAGAGCGAGTTGAATAAGTAAAGACTAAAATGGTAGGAAGTTTTTTTTAACTTGTTCGATGAAGCCGAGATTATGAATTGATCTAAATTGAACAACATCTGGAACTCTAAACAAATATCAATCAACACCAAAATCAGAATTTTCAATGCAATTGTCAAGACAATTCTACTGTATAGAGTGGAAACTTAGAGAACTATCAAAGCCATCATCCAGAAGATAAAAGTGTTTATTAACAGTTGTCTACGCAAAATACTTCGGATTCATTGGCCAGACACGATCAGCAACAACGTACTGGGGGAGAGAACAAACCAGATTCCAGTGGAGGAGGAAATCAGGAAGAAGTGGTGGAAGTGGATAGGACACACATTGTGGAAAGCACCTAACTGCATCACAAGACAAGCCCTCACATGGAACCGTCAAGGCAAAAGGAAAAGAGAAAGGCCGAGGAACACATTACGCCGAGAAATGGAGAGAGACATGAGAAGAATGAACAAACATTGGACAACACTGGAAAGCAAAGCCCAGGACATAGTTGGTTGGAGGAAATTGGCGGGCGGCGAATGCTTCATTGGGGGTAACAGGCTTAAGTAAGTAAAAAAAAATTGCCGTCAATAGATCTTATACTAATTAAACCACGAAGAATTTTAATTTACGGTATAAAATAAGGGTATTATTCAAAATGATTAAAAGTTTACCGTGTAGCTGTTGTACTCCTGTTAAAACAAAAAAACCGCTACCTTCAAATCATGAAAGAATCATTGTTAGACCATCATTAGAAACCTTGGAGCACTGAACAATGGCCGTTTCGTCCTTTTATGGGACTCGTCAGTGGTAGTGCGAACTTAGCACCTCCGGTCTCGCGTGCGAACGCCTAACCTCTGGACCACTGGGTCGGCATCCAACAGTGTTAATGCCTAAATCTGATCCTGCGGTTGGCAGGAGCCTTAAACACGCACTGCCACTGATGAGTCCCGTACCAGGACGAAAAGGCTGTCGTTCAGTGCTCCACGTTTCTAACTATGCGAAATCCTATCGACTGACCAAATTCAAATATGCCAATACGGCCTCAAATATTGTTCCCAAATCTTCAATGTACCAGATCACAACACCGTCAGATGAAGTTGTTTATGAGATCGAGCACAGAAGGTATAATTAGCTTTACAGATAATGCATATTTATACATTTAGGTCGAATAGGGCACAGCACTGAAATATATATGACATAGATAATCAGAACGACCGATAGGAAACAACACTGATGTATGTGACATTGTTAGTTAGGACGACCATAATATTGACCAGTAGGAATCGACCAATAGAATTAGACTCACAAAAATAATTCTCTTTGGATATTTGATAAGTATCCTAACAAAAGTAAACTATTCCAGTTATGAGAACACTCTTTTCCCCTTTGTCTATACAAACATTAATTTGTAGTCAGCTACCATGACATATCTTCTCTTTTCTCAACAGTAAATGCTCATTCAACTGGAGAAATCCTGAAATTTTGGATAAAGGGAATATAAGGAATACTAGAGAGTTTTTAGAAACTCGACACTCAGCTTCATCGGTAATCATCAGCAAACACATTGACGCTGATCCAATTTATCAACTAATCATAAAAATCATAGGCAAACAACAAAGGGTCAAGAAAAAGTGGCATATAACGACAGGTTTAAAGTCAATACTAACCAATCAGGATCGAGTTCGATAAGACAAGCTATTATGAGTCATACGCGAATACTTCACTTCTTCTTGAAATTTGTGCTGATGATGTTGTTCAGGAGAAGGATGACAGATGCATACATAGCTACTAATCAATGCGCATCCAATATCCCACGTAGAGGAATTCAACACAAGAAGTTCACTCTTGTACACGAACACCTAACCTCATGATAGACAGACAGACAGACAGATACAACGCAGAACATCGTACATAAGTACATCAGTTCAGGTTGCCATTACCACATCAGCACAGAGACGCAACTGTCACTTCAAATCCAAGAGTGAGAGCAATAGTAGAAGTATTAGCAGTAATGGGGAAGATTAGAGAGCGAAGATATGATTCGAGAAGTATAATTCAGTAAGGAGAAAGGTAGAGATTATGAGGAATTCAGAAGGTTAGAATTAAAAAGCACACAAAGAGTGGATGCACCTGCGCTATCGCAAACGATTTTGAGACGTGTCGTTCGAGGTCTCTAACCATCGGTGACTTTCGTCTCGCGAACCCCAACCAGGTAGTCGACAACTACCGACATGACTCAGTCCACTTGTCAATGACTTCATGAATTTCTGACGTGTTTTGGTTTGGCCGCCCCTAGCTTTCTTCCAACTTACTCCTACACCACAAAACATAACTCGTCGGGGCAGTCGGTGGTTGTGTATACGTAACACATGTCCCAACCACCTCAACTGATGAAGTTTCACTACTTCATCTATTGATCTGCCATTCTTACCTAGCACCCGATTCCTAATAGCAGCATTGGTTACTCGGTTGTCCCACGATATACGAGCAATGCTTCGAAAACACCTATGATCGAAAACCAATAACCTACGAATATCTTCTACTCTAACTGGCCATGCTCCACAGCTATGAAGTAGGACGGAGCGAAGTACTGCGCAGTACACTCGTCCTTTAGTTAGAAAACGGATATCTCGCCTACGCCATAAGTGACGCAGGTTGACAAAAGCCAATCGAGCCTTCTGTATCCGTGATGAGATTTCGTCAGTCATCAGGCCATCAGTACTGATGATACTCCGGAGATAAATGAAGCGGTCTACACGTTCGACTACTTCACTCCCTATCACTAGTTCAGGTGCCGATGCAAACCAGTCTTGAAGCAACATTTTGCATTTCGAGGGAGAAAACCGAATTCCGAACATGCTTGCATTGTTGCTTATGGTGGTCAGAAGACTCTGAGTTTTGTCAGCGTCTTCACCAAGTAGGACTATGTCATCGGCATATTCTAAGTCAATCAGCGAGCCAACTGGTGAGAAGGTCTACTCCTGAAAATTCAGACGAGGATAACGTTATTTCTAGGAGCGTGTCTATGATAAAATTAAACAAAAATGGAGAGAGTGGACATCCCTGACGGACACCACTTGATATTGAAAAACGGTTAACTGCACAACAAGGAGAAAATCATCGCAATCTATGTTTTGTACCAGTCAAGTATTCTTCAGTTGCAAAATGTACCAACCTTTGATGAGTTTCAAGTTTGTTACATTCAACTTTATCACCTTAGTTTCAAGCAGCTTCATTGTAACATCTTAAACCATGACACAAAGTTTGCAAATGTCTAGAGATATCTCTGATGAACACTTGAATACAATCTAATCGAGAAGTTTGTTTTTTTTCCAAAGATAAACTCAATCTCTTTTTGGAAATTAGTCTAGTAGGCTTTAAAAAAATATCTCTTTTAACTGAAATAACGTTCGATGAAATTGTTTGAAATAGTTAGTCATATTGTAGTGGACGAGAACACAGGTGGGGCAACCGGATTGCATTTAACAAAAATTACAGAGTTACTCAGTAAAATTGAAAAACCATATCGTAAATCGTTAATTTGCAAAATATCAGTTCATCATATCGAACTGGACTGTTCCTGTTGCAAAACATCAATCCATTGTCACTATTCATGCGTTTCAAAGAAATCCCATTGTGTTCTAATTCTTCCTTTCTTGATCTTTCCCCATCTTCTGCTGCCAGACATTACGTTTACACCCACGTCATACATATACTACTTATAAGTAGCTCGCACCACAATATGATAATTTTGGATGGATAACACACAATTCGATTAGAGAACTAACTATTTACTGAACGGTTTTGATTGAAAACTAACCACATCCTACATAAACAACAACTCACTTACACATACATTACATACTAATAAATCATTATTCATGTTTTAATTAGCTAACTGTCGTCAATATTGTCAATAATTATTGAAAAGTAATAATTATTGATGATAAAATTTGTTGACTCTTTCGAATTTCATTGTTCAACTGTAATTTATGAGGCATTTTTATGTTCATTATTCAATAAATTGATTGATTGAATGATTTTTAAATGATGGAATCTAGTTGAATTTTCTATATATATATATATATATATATATATATATATATATATATATATATATATGAAGCCATTTATTCGCCAAATTATGTGGTGTAGATTTGTTGAAATTAAATAAAGATTTATTACTTTTTTTTCAAAAATTTGTTTGTTTAAACGAATTGATTTTTATTGATTTTTATCAGTAAATATTTTGATGACGTTTTTTAATGAGACTGTGTGATTTGTCTGCAACAGTTTTTGTCTATACTTTCAAGAACATTGATAATATATTGATATACACATGAAAAGGTTTCTCTCGATTTACTTAATTGATTGTTTAATCAAGAGATTTTTGAATTTTGAATCATTCTTTCTCTTTCTCCTGGTCATCAATCGACTGGATTATGAAGACGTCAGCATCTGAAGGGAAGCACGGTATCAACTGGACAGTTAGGACGCAGCTGCACGATTTGGACTTCGCAGATGATCTGGCTCTTCTATCGCACACGCAACAACATATGTAAGAGAAGACGAACAGTGTAGCAGCAGCCTCTGCAGCAGTAGGTCTCAACATACATAAAGGAAAGAGCAAAATTCTCCGATGCAACACAACATGCACCAACCAAATCACTCTTGATGGAGATGCCTTGGAGGACGTTAACACCTTTACATATCTAGGCAGCAACACCGACAACCAAGGTGGATCTGATGCAGATGTGATGGCGCGGATTGGCAAAGCAACGGCTGCACTTCTACAGTTGAAAAATATCTGGAACTCCAAACAACTTTCAACCAAAATCAAAATCAGGATTTTCAATACAAATGTGAAGACAGTTCTACTGTATGGAACGGAAACTTGGAGAACTACGAAAGCCATCATCCAGAAGATGCAAGTATTTATGAATAGTTGGCTACGCAAAATACTTCGTATTCTTTGGCCAGACACCATCAGCAACAACGAACTGTGGGAGAGAACAAACCAGATTCGAGTGGAGGAGGAAATCAGGAAGAAGCGGTGTAAGTGGATAGGACACACACTACGAAAAGCACCTGACTGCGTCACAAGACAAGCCCTCACATGGAACCCTCAAGGTGAAAGGAAAAGAGGCAGGCCGAGGAACACATTACGCTGTGAACTAGAGAAAGACATGAGAAGAATGAACAAACATTGGACAGAACTGGAAAGGGAAGCCCAGGACAGACAGAGTTTGTTGGAGAAAACTAGTCGACGGCCAGTGCTCCATTGGGGGTAACAAGCGTAAGTAAGTAAGTAATGTGTATTAAAATAAAACAAGGGCAGCATATTTGAAACTCAAACTAACTGCCAACAAACACTTAAGTTACAATTTCTAGTATATAAACATCAAGATAGTTCCGTTGTATGAAGTGGAAACTTGGAAACCTACGAAAGACATCATTCGGAAGAGACAAGTACTTAATTAACAGTTGGATCCGTTAGCCAGACAACATCAACAACCACCTACTGTGTGAGAGAACAAACCGGATTCCAGTGAAGAAAGAAAGCGCTAAAAGTGAATAGGACGCATGTTGAGCAAACGTATCCAGTTGTGTAACTGAACAAGTCCTAACTCAAGCTTAAAAGAAGTGACATATGCCAAAGAACACACACTGAACAGAGAATTTGAAGTAGATATGAAATTCTTGAATAGCGATTGAATAGAATTGGACTAAACGACCTAGGATAGTAGAGTAGGTTGACGAATGCGAGCAACCAGCCTATAGTTCATCAATAATGGTAAGTGAGTAAGTAATTAAACTAAAGCAAAGGAATTTAAATTTCACACTGTGTTCAATGTTCAAAATCATTGAAACCACCAATCAAAATGAACTTACTTGAAAAATGAATAATATGACCACATTTAACATTGTACCAATATGACACATAATTAACATCAAATTAAAATCTCTTGTCCATATTGTTGAACGTATTGTTACTGCAATCCATAAGAATACAAATGATGCATTGCCAATCATTTTAAAATCATAAGTCGCGCGTGAATTTTTATTTACTTCATAAAACATTGCTTCAGCATAGAATTGACCACCGGCTAAACAAAAATATGGTATGAAAAATGTGACTAGACCATGCCATATTCCATCGGAAACCCATAATAAAATATACCATGCTTTTAAATTAGCTTGATGTGATATCTAGATTTAAAAAGAGAAATTAGAAAACAATGATGATGCAATTATCAAGTGTCAATGTTTTCAAAATTTCAATTTTATCATTGAAGATTTGAATGAATGGGTTGAAAGATAAATGTGTTGATGACCTTGAGCAACTTGCTAGCCAGTCAGAAAACGTAGTTAGTTACTTACTTACTTATTCATTTGTGTAACTCCTCCCGACCGTAGCTGCTACCTTGACGTGGTGGTCGGGTTTGGCTATCATCATGACCCAACCGAGCTATATTGGCTGCAAAATATGTTCCTGAAGGTTCTACCATGCCAGGCAGGTCGATTGGAGAGCGATGAGACTAAAAGCAGCTATTCAACGTCTGGGGGGAAGTCGTACTGCTGACTGACTGTGGAGAGGTGTGAAAGTAGTAAGGTGTTTCCCTCGGATAATCAGCATCTGCGGCGATACTGCCTTCTCACAAGGAAGAAAGGAAGGGTTAGAAATGGTCGACCCTAAAAATGTCACACCTCACCTTATTGCACGGATTTCTGTCACCGTCGGTAAGGGTGCCCACTAAAGGCTATCAAGAGCAGAGCTAATCCTCAAAAAACCTTTCATAAAAAGGCGGTGCGTGACCGGCCTCAAGCAGTTGTCCTTTGGACTCTGCGGTCACGCGCCCAGGTCTCTAAGACCAACACTAATCTACCTTCATTTTCGGGTTCCTCAAGAAACAACCTTCCACGGTGTGTGCAGCCGGGAAGTGATAACCGCCCTCATGCCCGTAACAGTGCACGAGACTAAATTGGTCGAAATCAAATCCTTCCTACACCCCCTAATACTTCTCTTCTCTCCACAACGAACTATACTCACAGTCCTTTTTCTCACTGCACCGCTAATGCAGACGAAGCGAGTTCGAGAAACGTCATTCCTGGTCTCTTAATGTAACTGCTAATGGAGCATAGGCCATTGACCAGCATTCGCCAACCTACTCTGTCGTGAGGCCTGCCTTTTTAGTTCTATCCAACTGTTGTACATTCTTCTCATGTCTGTCACCATTTCTCAGTATAATGTAATCTTCAGTCTTCCTTTTGACTTTGAGGATTCCAGGTGAGAGTTGGTCTTGTGATACAGATGGTTGCTTTGGTTAAGGTGTAACTTCTTTTTGATTTCTTCCTTCACTTGAATCTGGTTTGTTCTGTTCCAACAGTAGGTTGTTGCTGATGATGTCTGACCGATCGGTTCGAAGTATTTTACGTAGATATAGTATATGAGATGTTATCTTAAGTCTGACTGATACATTCAAAGCTTTCAGTATATTATTACTTTTACCAAATTATTTACACACACTCTTCTTGTCTGGGAATCGGACATTCAAGAACTTTGGTGACGTGCGCGACCCTGCAGACCGCTGAGCCAACATCTAACGGTGCTAATATCTAACTTCGATCGATCTACGGTCTTGAGCAACCTCATTCATTGTCTTCGGTAGTTACTATCTATATCCGACGGGACTGAACACCACTGGTCACGACTTCTCACTAGAAGTAGGAGAAACTTCCTCATCGGGCTAGCCACTAGTGAGCACATAATAATTGGCATCATAGAGTTGTGAAGATAGTTGAGTTACTTTTTAAAATCATGAATCGATCAATGTTAGACAACTGCTATTAGAAATCTAGAAGCACTGCATGACGGCTATTCCGTCTTGGCATGTGACTCATCGATGGTAGTGCACATCCATGACTCCTGCTACTCGTAAGATTCGAACCCAGGACTTAAACGTTTCTGTCGTTTTCATTGTTGAAATTAATTCACAATTTAACTAATTGACTATTAACGATTCGGATTGATTTTTGGGTCATGCTCAATACAACCGTTAGTAATTTATTTTTCTGGTTAGCGTTTCTTTTAGTCATTAATCATCTTTTACGAGATGAGGTCGCCAAACCCATGTCCAACTCTCCTCCTTTATCCGGCCTTGGGACCGGCAGTAGCCACAGAAGGGCTTCAGGCGGATGGAACTGGAAAGGGAGGTGATAAGTTCGTCACTTAGTATGCTTGAGGCTATTACGAGTTTACCTTAGTCGATAAACGCGAACGAGACTTTTACCAGCTTCCAGGGAGGCTACCTTGAATCCGAGGCTGAAGTGAAAAGTCTTTGTAAGCGTAGAAAGTATATTCTACAAACAACCAGCAATCACAGTACAATCAAGCATACAACTCTCGTTTATTTATACAACATAGGAACGTCCTTGAGACAGTTAAGAAAATAGCATACTAAAATACACTGCAGCCAATCACAGCCATGGATTTTCCTGGTGGGAATTGAAATCTCAAGGTCAACTGATCAGCCCATGCTGGCAAACGTGAAAACCGAAATCGGGGCATTTATCAAGCGAATTTCGGGGATCTAACATCCCCAACACTTCTATTCAACAGTGGTTGAGAAACTTGGATTAGAGTAGCATGTCGTGTCGCCGGATCCTCGATCCTCACTCTTGTTTTCCGACTTAAGTAAACTCGTAATAATAATCCAAGCATATCAAATTGACGTGTTTATGTGCATTCGTAACAGTAAGTAAGTCAGCAAGTTAACATACTTCAGTTTTTGTTTTTACCATGACTGTTCAACAGACTGCATGTTTATTGGCTCACTAGGTTTCTTCGATAAGATGATGATAATCAATGTGTATCACAGAAAAATTCGATAGCATTAAAATCAATTGATTCGATCATTCCATTATACTAGTGTAGTATAAACTTGTTGAAATTAATCTCTGTGTTTGTGTTTCTGTTGTTTGTGTGTGTCTGTGTGTGTGTGTGTGTGCGCGCGCGCAATGTATGCATTCAAACACTGTTTTTTTTTCTGCGGCATTTTTAAACAATCCAACGATCAATTAATTACAATCGTAAGATTGATAAAATTATTATTGATAGACAAGATGAGAAAAATTTTTTTTATGTCAGTAAATTATTTGGCTTTTAATTTTTAATCGATCGATTGATTCGGAAAAAAAAAATTATTTCGAATGGAAAAATAGATTTAGTAATCATTCAACCAACCAGTCATTGGTAGACCAGCATCATTAGAAAGAAACCTGGAAGCACTGAATGTGGGTTGTTTCGTCATGGTATGATGAGACTACTCATCAGTGGCTGTGAGTAGTCATGAAGGTTCTAGGTTCGAATCTGTCGGGGATGTTAGATCCACAGAGTTCACTTGATAAAGGTCGTAATTTCGGATTCTTATTCATGGGCTGATCATAGTGTGGTGCGAGCTACTTATAAGTAGTATATGACGTCACTGTCGACGTAATGTCTGGTGGCAGCAGAACATGGGGGAAGATCAAGAGAAAGGAAGAGTTAGAAGAACACAATGGAATTTTTATGTAAAACGCATGAATAGTAGTGACAATGGATTGATGTTTTGCAACAGGAACAGTCCAGTTCGATATGATGAACTGTTATTTTGCAAATTAAGGATTTACGATATGGTTTTCCAATTTTACTGAGTAACTCTGTAATTTGAGATAAATACAATCCGGTTGCCCCACCTGTGTTCTCGTTCACTACTAGTTGACCTTGAGATTGCATTTCACGCCAGGAAAATCCTTGACTGTGATTGGTTGATATGTTATTTTAGTGTGCTATTTTTATGACTCTACCAAGGACGTTTCTATGATGTATAAATAAACGCAGTTTGTGTGCTTGACATCATTGTGTTTGTTGGGTGTTAGTAGAATACACTTTCTGCACCATATCAAGAATCTTTTCTTCAGTTAGTTGGGGCAACGGATCAGAATACCGTGTCACAGGTTCATTGTCTCTTTATCGTTTATCGATTAATTTGAACTCGTAATAGTTTCAAGCATATCAAGTGACGAGCATAACAGAATCCTGCGACGCACAGTCCCATCCAGTTCTTCACGGTTTCTAGAGGTGGTGGTCTAACCTTGATCGATTCATGATTTCGAAAAGTAACTCAACAATCTCCACAACCCTTTAGTCAAGATATTCGTATTCAAATTATTTACAATTTAACCGATACAAAAGTAAAGTCCAATGAAGAATGAAGAAAAGTGACGTTGATTTTTCTATCAAACATTAATGATGATTTGAAATCTGTAAAAACACTAATCTCTAGAATTCTAATTGAAATCATGAATGAATCGCTGTCAGACCATCTCCATTCGAAACCTGAGAGCACTGGAAGATGGCCATTTCGCCCTGTTATGGGACTCATCAGTGGCAGTGCACATCCACGACTACTGCATCTCGTAGGATTCTAACCCGTGACCTTCAATATTGTGCGCAAACGCTCAACCTTTGGACCAGTGGACTGGCATCCAACGGTGTTAATCTTTAACTCTGACTGATCTAGGGATTTTGCGTTACCTCACCCATTTGTCTTTGGTAGTTATCGCCTCACACCCGACAGGGTCGAACTCCATTGGTCATGTCTTCTCACTAGAACTCCGAGAATTTACTTACGAAGTTAGTCACTAGTGAGTACATTTTACGATATTTTCAATTAGAATTATGGCGATTAGTGTTTTTACAGATTTCAAATCATCATTAATGTTTGATAGAAAAATGAACGTTATTTTTCGTCATTCTGCATTGAACTTTACTGTTGTATCGATCAGTTTGCAAATAATTTGAATACAACTATTTTCACTAAAGGGTTGTGAAGATTGTTGAGTTACTTTTTGAAATCATGAATCGATTAAGGTTAGACCACCACCTCTAGAAACCGTGAAGAACTGGATAGCTATTTTGTCCTTGTATAGGACTTACCATTGACAGCACACATCCGCAACCCACTAATGTGTGAATCTAACGCACAAACCTTTGTGCGTCGCAGGATTCTATTATGCTCGTCACTAGTTGATACGTTTGAAACTATTACGAGTTCAACTTAGTCGATAAACGAGAACGAGACGATGGCCCAGTGATAAGGTAGGCTATTCTGATTCATTGCCCCAACTAACTGAAGAAAAAAGTCTTTATATGGTGTAGAAAGTGTATTCTTCAAACACCCAGAAAACACAATCAATTCAAGCACACAAATTGCGTTTATTTATACATCATAGAAACGTCCTTGGGAGAGTCATAAAAATGGCAAACTAAAATAACACAACAACCAATCACAGCCAAGGATTCGGATGATGGGAACTGTAATCTCACGGTCAACTGCTCAGGCCATGAATAAAATCCGAAATGAAGGCCTTTATCAAGTGAACTCTGTGAATCTAACATCCCCAACAGATTCGAACCTAGAATCCTTGTGAATACGCACTGCCACAGATGAATAGTCTCATCATATCAGGACGCAACAGTCATCATTTAGTGCTTCCATGTTTCTAATCATACTAGTAGTCTACCAATGATTCATTTTATGATTTCAATGCGTGATAAAAGAAAAAAATAACAAACAATCATCTTCATGATATATTACTTTAATACTAAAAAATTCAACTTACCGCTTTATATAAATAAGGTTTAGTCAATAAATCATGTTCTCGTAAATGACGTTCAAACATTCCATAACCTAAACTGACTAAAAATGTCATTGTTAAATTATAACATATAAATAATATTGTACCAAATGAAGGAATCTCAGAGAAACCAGCAAAACATGTAACACAGATTTGATTCGATACAAATGCAACAGCTTTATGATAAAAAAATAACATTGTTATAGTGATACGATAATATGACCAATGTCCATGTAATAAAAATAATCGTTGTATATGCCTGTAAAAGTGAACAAGAAAAACGATGATATGAGTGAATTCAACAATAGATAATGGGGGGACTATTGACTAATAAAAAGCGAGTAGTATTTTTGTGGTGCGAGCTACTTATAAGTAGTAGTATATGACGTGAGTGTCAACGTAATGTCTGGTGGCAGCAGAAGATGGGGGGGAAGATCAAGAGAAAGGAAGAGTTAGAAGAACACAGTGGAAGTTGTATGTGAAACGCATGAATAGTAGTGACAATGGATTGATGTTTTGCAACAGGAACAGTCCAGTTCGATATGATGATGAACTGATATTTTGCAAATTAATGATTTACGATATGGTTTTCCGATTTTACTGAGTAACTCTGTAATTTTCGTTAAATACAATTCGGTTGCCCCACCTGTGTTCTCCTTAATTACATTTGGTGTTGCTGCCTGTTCGAAGGAAGGAGCTCCCGTGGCCGAAGGAGTTGGAGAACGGAGATTCGCGGAGCTTCCTGGAGCGGTGTGTGAAGGGGCCCGGGGGGAGTTGGCGGTGCTGGGGACGCTGCGCGAAGGTGAGGCGAAGGCGTTATACGACAGCCTGGACGGTGCCGCCGGGAAGACGGCGTGGGAGAAGGTCACCGGGCGGCCGATGACGGAGTTCGACAGCCCGGTGGACAGGGAGGAGGCGCCGCATGTTGCATCGATAACTGCACTCGTGTTGGAGATGTCAGATCCCCAGAGTTCACTTGATAAAGGTCTTCATTTTGGATTTGATTCATGAGCTGATCAGTTGACCTTGAGATCGTGTTACGTTCGTATCTAGAGATGCTAAAAAACGTTTACTCGTCCTGTTTAATCGAATAACGAGAACGAGACAATTGAACCATCGTGCAGGTAGGCTACTGTGACCCATCTGACGGAATTGTATCAGCAAGAAGTCTTGATATAACGTAGAAAGTGTTGGGGATGTTAGATCCGCAGAACTCGCTTGATAAATGCCTTATTTTCTATTTCACGTTTGCCAGCATGGGCTGATCAGTTGACCTTGAGATTTCATTTCCCACCAGGAAAATCCATGGCTGTGATTGGCTGCTGTGTATTTTAGTGTGCTATTTTCTTAACTGTCCCACTAGGACTTCTGTATGACGTATAAATAAACGAGATTTGTGTGCTTGATTGTACTGTGTGATTGCTGGGTGTTTGTAGAATATACTTTCTACGCTCACCAAAACTTCTCTTTTACAGTTTGGGATTCAAGGTAGCCTATCTGGATGCTGGTGATTGTCTCGTTCGCGTTTATCGACTAAGGTGAACTCCTAATAGCTTCAAGCGTACACCTAGTGACGAACAAAACAGTGGCAAAGGGGATGGGATGTATTCTACAAACACAGCCCAGCCAGCATACAATGAATCCAGTCACTCAAACTGCGTTTATTTATACTCTATAGAGACGTCCTTGGGACAGTCACAAAAACAGTACACTAAAATGACACGGCAACCAATCACAGTCAAGGATTTTTCTGGTGGGAAATGTGATCTCAAGGTCAACTGATCGGGTCCAAGAAATAAATCCAAAATAAAGATATTTATATCAAGCGAGTTCTGAGGATCTAATTTTCCCAACACTCCTCCTGTTTTTCATAGCATGTGCTCTTGGGGTCGACTGTCTGAGACGATACCTTCGGGAACGGTATGACATGACCATCTGTCGCCTCCTACCTCTACTTCGTACATAATACGTCCAACTCTTCTGACCACTCGGGCTTTTGTCCGAGGACCATGGTTTGTTCTGTAGTCACGGGCGAACACAGAGGATCCCAGTTCGTAGGAGGATTGCCTTTCTGACTTTGTCTCTACCGATGTTGGTGCATTAATTGGATGCATCAGGCTGTGGATCCTCTTCAGTCTTCTTTTGATCAGGATTTCTGCTAGGGACTTTTGCTCCGGTAACAATTCATTTGGTGTTGTTCGACAGACGTACATGAAATTTAGTAACACATCGGCTGGTATCCCCTCCCCTTTTGACTTAACCAATGCTCTTTAAAACGTATCCACAAACCTTTCCGTCAGCCCATTCGATTGCGGGTGGCGAGCATAAGTGTTTGATGGCTAGCCGTTGACAGAATATTTGAAATTGGGTAGAGGTATATTGAGACCAATTGTGAGATACGATCACATTTGGTATGCCATTTCGAGAGAAAATTTCGGTGAGAAAGTTTCTCCGAATACTAGTATGAAATCGTGACCAGTGGAGTTCATCCCCTTTGGGTGTAGATAGTAACTACCGAATACAATGTGTGAGGTTGCGCTAAATATTTAGATTGATTAGAGTTAGACAATAACACCATTGGAAGCCGGGCTCAGTGGTCCAGATCTGAGGTGTTCGCACGCAATTCCGAAGGTCCTGGGTTCGAATGCTGCGAGTAGCAGTAGTCGTGGATGTGCACCGTGTCCCGTAACATCTCATTTCTAGTTCAGTTGTATAGTTTTGTTGTAGTTGTATTCTCAGAATTGAAGCTTCCATTGACAGCCAGGATAAAATCACCAGCATGAACTTCAGTCTGAAGTGAGTTATTTAAATCTCTTCACGTATGACTGACCGTGTCGATCTATATTTTGATGAGTTATTGTTGACCTACATCCTGTTATTATTTGGATATTCGTTTTGATTGTCGTCACCGTTGACCTGACTTTTAACTTGACAGTTATGTATAATTTTTATGACTGATTGGTGAATTTGAACAATTTCTGAAGTTGATGAAAGTCTTGACTATTAGTTAATTAAAAACCTACGTTTACAGAAACAGTTTGTGATAACTTAGGATTTATCCTGGTAATTTTTACGCCATTTTATGGTCTGAGGATAATAAGACAATTTCTTACCCTTTCTGTATTATGTAAATTTCCTCTTTTCATCATTAACAATTATCACTGGTCATGACTTCTCACTAGAACTTCGAGGATTTTTTTTCGATATTGGAATGGACTGGACGGACAAATAATCGTTGTATGGGAATAATTATCAGTAGTAGTGCGCATCCATGACTACTGCTACTCGCTGGATTCGAACCCGGGACCTTCAGTCTTTCTCGCAAACGCCTAACCTCTGGACGGCTGGGTCGTCATCCAACAGTGTTAATGTCTAACTCTGATCAATCTACGGATTCTGTACGACCTCACCTATACGAGGACGAAACGGCCGTCCAGTGCTTCCAGTTTTCTTCTGCTAGTGATCTAACATTGATTGATTCATATTTCAGTAATAAGCAACAATTTCCATAACTCTATCATGAAAAATATATCAACAATGCAACAACAATCAAAGTGGAGCTTATCAATAATAACTTTCTTGAAGGATCTGAGTTGCTCATAAACGAAGCTATAGCCAACAGTATACAAGAATGAGTTCAAATTATATCAGCTGTTAATTGTCTCAGTAAATTTTTTGTAATGACGGTTGACATTTATAAATTACAATATCTTGTTAAAATATTAAGAATACATTTAACTAAACAACTGTCAATTCACTTAAATTAGACTGAATCCATATTGATGTTTTCAACTTATTACACATCTTTACTGTATAAATATATACCAAAGTTTAAAATGGTATCCTATCTATCGAAATGTATGAGTACATTTCTAAAGAGTTAACAAATCAGTTCAAAACAGACATTTATGACACTCACTACAGATAACTATTTGAAACCTAGAAGCCATAGACATCTGTGCCTTCTCAGTGTGGCACCTCATATCAATTCATATCACCTTACCTGATTCACAGATCGAACCCACAACCATCTGGAAGGTTTATTTTAAAAAAAGTCTAACTAACTCAAACTACTCACTGAAATTGTGTCACTGAATAGTCTGACGCTCTGACAGCTTCACGACCTTCTTTCCCATAGACACCGACACCAATATTAGCTTGTAAAATCATTGCCACATCATTGCCTCCATCACCGATTGCAGCTATCACTGGTGTTGTACCTTGACGAGTATATTTAGCCAAACCAATTTGTACTAATTTAACAATCGATGCTTTTTGTAATGGTGTTACACGACAACATAATACAGTTGTAACACTCATACATAATTCCAAAAATGCATTACGTATTGAATTCTGAACACAAAAGAAAGAAAAAAAAATAAAAAACTAAGGATTATTTAGGTGTATAGATGTTGATATTTAACAACAACAACGTACTGTGGGAGAAAACAAACCAAATTCTTTCAGTGGAGGAGTAAAATCAGGCAGAAGCGGTGGAGTTAGTGGATAGGACACACACACTGAGAAAAGCACCTAACTGCGTCACGAGACAAGTCCTCATATGGAACCCTCAAGGTTAAAGGAAAAGAGGAAGGCCAAGGAACACATTACGCCGAGAAATAGAGAAAGATATGAGATGGATGAACAAACATTGGACAGAACTGGAAAGGGAAGCCCAGGACAGACAGAGTTGGTTGGAGGAAACTGGCGGGCGGCCTATGCTCCATTCGGGGGGTAACAGGAGTGAGTAAGTAAGTAATGTTGATATTTAATAGATTAAAGATGAATTATTTGAAATTTATGTCAATAATAGATGTAGTTGTCTCAACTACACATACTGTATTGATAAGATGGTTGAGGCTTGATGATTGTGATTATTCACACGACATATAATAATCAGAATATATTTGACAGGTAAGGCTCTACCGCACTAAAATAGGTCAGTTGAAGAATGGTAAGAGAAAATGCAACAACAGTAAGGGAGTCGTACAGTCATTCGAACTAAGGTGTTATAGCAAGTAAATGTTTCGTTCTGATAATAAACATCGGTAATTACTGAAATTAATCAATTAATCAACAGTAACGTAGAACTTCATTTGTACGCACGTACGTACATCAATTCAAGTTGCCCTAACACATCAGCACAGAGATGCGATTGTTAATCCCAATCCCATAGTGGTGGAGATAGTAGAAGTATTATTGGTAATGGAGAAGATTAGGGTTCGAAGATATTATTCAATAAGCAAGATCTCATGAAATAAACTTAGGAAGAAAAAGATAAAGGTGATGAGGAACTCTGAAGGATAGGATTTGGGAGAACATAAAGAATAAATGCACCTGCGCCATTGCAAACGGTTTTGAGCCATGTAATTCAAGGTCTCTAACCATCGAATAATATCATCTTGCGGACCCCAACCAGGTAGTCGACAAGTACCAACATGGCTCAGTCCACTCGTCAATGACTTCATGCATTTCTGCCATGTCTTGGTTTTACCGCCCCTAACTTTCTTCCAACCTACTCCTACACTACAAAACAAAGGCAGTCGATGGTTAGGCATACGTAGCACATGTCTCAACCACCTCAACTGATGAAGTTTCATTACTTCATCTACTGACCTTCCATACTTTCCTAGGATCCGTTTCCTAACAGCAGCAAATTACTGAAATCATGAATTAACGATTATAAGGCCATCGTTAGAAACATGGAAGCACTGGGCGGCTGTTTTGTCCTGGAATGGGATTTATCAGCAGCGCGCGTCCATGACTCTTGCTACTCGCACGATTCGGACGCTTAACCTCTAGACCACTATGCCGGTGTTTATGTCTAGCTCTAATCAATCTAGGGATTTCGCACAAACTCTAACAATGATTGGTTCATGATTTCAGTAATAAACTCTTATGATAGAAAATCTTCAATAATATTTCCACTTTGAAATGGGAAAAAGGAGTTACTGTAGGTCAACTCTAAAAATCGTACACTTCACCTGGTTCCTTTGGATTTTCAGTTTTAGTGAACAGGTTTGACAAGTACAGAATCAATATTTTTAACTCCACTCACGTTAAAAACCTTTCAATACTAACTTTAACAAACTATCCTCTAGGTTTTACAGTCATAATCTCAAGCAGACTAGAGGTAACATACCTCTTATTGATTATATTACGTTATTATTAGACCACATTTTCAATCTACGACAGGTCCTGGAACACAGACACACATTTAGGCGTCCGACAATACACGTCCTCTTGGACCTTAAGGCGACATTTGACTCTGTTGATCGTGAGGTTCTGTGGTAGTGCCTGTCATACAAAGGTGTTTCAAAAAACTACATTACCTTGCACAAGCTTTCTCCTCGAATACCACTGATTGAGTGAGAGCTTATGGCGAACTGTCAACGGAACTCTCTACATCAAGTGGTGTCCGTCAGGGATGTCCACTCTCTCCATTCTTGTTTAACTTTTTCGTAGACATCCTCTTAGGGTTGAGATTAAGCTCGTCAGATTTTTCAGGAGTTGACCTTCTACCAGGAAAATCGCTTACTGATCTAGAATATGCCGATGACATAGTTCTATTCGGTGGAGACGCTGACAAAATGCAGATTCTTCTGACTACCATAAGCAACAATGCGAGCTTGTTCTGGATGCGGTTCTCACCCTCGAAATGCAAAATGTTGCTTCGAGATTGGGTTGTATAGACACCTGAACTAGATATAAGGAGTGAAGTAATCGAGCGTGTTGATCGCTTCACTTATCTGGGGAGTCTCATCAGCATTGATAGCCTGGTGACTGACGAAATCTCAGCTCGGATACAGAAATCTCGATTTGCTTTTGCCAATTTACGCCGTTTATGGCGTAGACGAGATATCCGTTCGCTAACCAAAGGACGAGTGTACTGTGCAGTAGTTCACTCCGTCTTACTTTATGGCTATGAAACATGGCCAGTGAGAGTAGTAGATATTCGTAGGTTACTATTATTGGATAATAGATGTCTTCGAAGCATTGCTCGTGTATCGTGGGACGACCGAGTAGGCAATGCTATAGTTAGGAAACGAGTACTAGGTAGGGATGGCAGATCAATAGATGAAGTTTTGAAACTTCATCAGTTGAGGTGGTTGGGACATGTGCTACGTATGCCTAACCATCGACTGCCTTTGTTTTGTAGTGTAGGAGTAGGTTGGAAGAAAGTTAGGGGCGGTAAAACCAAGACATGGCAGAAATGCATGAAGTCATTGACGAGTGGACTGAGCCATGTTGGTACTTGTCGACTACCTGGTTGGGGTCCGCAAGATGATATTATTCGATGGTTAGAGACCTTGAATGACATGGCTCAAAATCGTTTGCAATGGCGTAGATGGATCCAGTCTTTGTGTTCTCTCGAATCCAAATCTTCTGGATTCGTCGACACCCTATTTTTCTCTTGCTACATTTATCTCACTGAATTATACTTCTTGAATATTATCTTCAAATCCTAATCTTTTCCATTAGCAGTCATTCTTCTACCATCTCAACCACTATGGAATTTGAATTGGCAGTTTCATCTCTGTGCTGATGTAGTATGGCAACATGAACTGATGTGCTTACGTACGAAGTTTTACATTCCAACAAACTCAACTCAGTGAATCTTCACAACCCTATAACAGATAATTATTATTGAACAAAACTTACATGTAATGCATATTGTAAACTTTTCCCATCAATAATCAATCCAATTGGTTCATTTGCCATACCAGGATATTTCCGATGTTTTCGTCTAATATATCTTCTTTTAGATTTCGTATCAGAAATCAATTCATTTTTACTATAATAATAAATATTATCCGGTTCGCATTGATTCAGCTCATTTACACTGGATTTGGATGTGGACAGCTGTGACAATGAGTCACCATCATAATTTATTGATTTAATTCGAGGGAGAGTAAGATTTTTTGTCCAAATTGAATGTTGAACATTGTTAGTAGTAGCAGTAGTAGTAGTAGTAGTATTAGTCGTCTCATGTTGTTTTGTTTTGCTATAATATTGATCATTATGAATGATTTGTAAACCATTCAATTGTTCATAAATTTTATAAGCTGTTAATTGTAATGTTTGACAATCCATAATTCGTATCAGTGTCATATTCGGTGTTAAATGTCCAATAGATTGACTCACTGTAATGGCTGTTTCAGCTTTATCACCAGTTAAAATCCAAATCTGGAAATAAAAACAAATTATAGAATATGGAAAGTTTGGAATATGAAAGCAAAACACTTTAGTAGGTCATTTTTTTGATTTTTGAATTTGATTGGTTAAATTGTTCAGTTTTGAAGTTTATATTTGATTGGTGAGTAGTGGATGTTCATTTCAGTCAGTCAGTTGCAACGTAGAACTTTGTACGTATGTACATAATTTCATGTTGCCATACCACAGCACAGAGACGCAAATGTCAAATCAAATCCCATAGTGATAAAGAAAGTAGAGGTATTAATGGTAATGAAGAAGACTAGGGTTCGAAGATATTATTCAAGAAGTATAATTCAGTGAGATAAGGTTAGAACGACAAGAGTAGAGGTGCTGACGAATCCAGAAGATTAGGATTTGAGAGAATAAAACAATGAATGGATGCACTTGAGCCATCGCAAACGATTTTGAACCATGTCATTCAAGGTCTCTAACCATTGGTGACTTTCGTCTCGCGAACCCCAACCAGGTAGTCTACATCTACCAACATGACTCAGTCCATTTGTCAGTGACTTCATAGATTTCTGCCGTGTTTTGGTCTGGCTGCACCTAGCTTTCTTCCAATCTACTCCTACACCACAAAACATAGCTCGTCGAGGCAGTCGGTGGTTAGGCATTCGTAACACATGTCCAAACCACCTCAACTGATGAGGTTTCAATAGTTCATCTATTGATCTACCATCCTTACCTAATACTCGTTTCCTAACGACAGCATTGCTTACTCGGTTGTCCCACGATATACGAGCGATGCTTCTAAGGCATCGATGATCGAATACTAATAACCTACGAACATCTTCTACTCTTAACGGCCATGTTTCACAGCCATATAGAAGAACTGAGCGAACTGCTGCGCAGTACACCCGTCCTTTAGTTAGCAAACGGATATCTCGCCTACGCCATAAACGGCGTAAATTGGCAAAAGCAAATCGAGATTTCTGTATCCGAGCTGAGATTTCGTCAGTCACCAGGCTATCAATGCTGATGAGACTCCCCAGATAAGTGAAGCGATCAACACGCTCGATTACTTCACTCCCTATTACTAGTTCAGGTGTCTATACAACCCAATCTCGAAGCAACATTTTGCATTTCGAGGGTGAGAACCGCATCCAGAACAAGCTCGCATTGTTGCTTATGGTAGTCAGAAGAATCTGCATTTTGTCAGCGTCTCCACCGAATAGAACTATGTCATCGGCATATTCTAGATCAGTAAGCGATTTTCCTGGTAGAAGGTCAACCCCTGAAAAATCTGACGAGCTTAATCTCAACCCTAAGAGGATGTCTACGACAAAGTTAAACAAGAATGGAGAGAGTGGACAGCCCTGACGGACACCACTTGAAGTAGAGAATTCCGATGACATTTCGACAGTAGTGTTCGAGTAGAGTGCTTGGATGATCACTTACAGAGGTGTAGATTGTTACTAAAAATTGCAGAAATGATTATCGACTGATTTCTTGGTTGTAACCACTAGTTGAGTTAAGTTCTTTAAGTAGCAGACTGCTCGGATTTCCCTCTAATCTTCAAAGCTAAAACTTACTTAATAAACGCCTTTACCCCGAATGGAGCATAGGCTGCCAACCAAAATTTTTCAAACAATTGTGATCTAAGCCGTCTATTCCAATTCTACCCAAGCACTGTTTATCCTTTTCATGTCTACCTCCAATTCCTGACGTAATATGTTCTTTGGTCTACCCCTTTCGCTTTGGCCTTGTAATCTTTAATTTAAAGCTTCCCTTGTGTTATAGTTCGGTGATTTCCGCAGTGTGTTTTTCCATCTCCTGTGCTGTTTGCTAATTTTTTTCCATGCTAGAATCTGGTTTGTTCAATCCCACAGTAGGTTATTGCTTACGGTATATGGCCAACGGATTCTCAGTATCTGTTAATAAATACCTGCATCTTTTGGATGATGTCTTTCGTAGCTCTCCAACTTTACCTTCCACACAATAGAACTGCCGTGACATTTGTATTGCAAATTCTGACTTTGGTGTTTGTTGACAGTTGTTTTGAGTACCCTATATTCTTCCATTGTACAAATACACCTTATGTTTTGTCAACTCGCGCCTTCATATCTGCTCCAGTTCCACCTTGCTCATTAACTATGCTGTCCAGATATGTAAAGGTTTTTACATCCTCCTAAGCTTCTCCGTCGAGTGGGATTTGGTTGATGCATATTGTGTTGTATAGAAGAATCTTGCTTTTTCCTTTGTGTACTTTGAGGCCATTCTGCCTTGGAGCATTTTGAATATCTACTCAGGTACACCGTAATGTCGAAGAAGCCTCCATTATGTATTCCTGTCCACGTTGTCATGCGATTTCGCGCAGTCAATGAATTTGATGTATAGTGGTTAGTTCCATCAAACTGACACCCGCCTTATATTCACTCAGTTTCGTAAACAAGGCTGCCACAAGGTGATCATAAGGACTACCTACAGTGGCTATACATACGTGTGGCTATATGAGAGTATTTGAAGAGGTAGAGTGAACTATTCCCATTCTTGACCGGCATTTGAAGCAAATGATATTAAGGAAGTTTTTTCATTGAAAATTATCTGGGTTTGAGTTCCAGAGTTCCCTGTTTATTCTATATATTCCCGTGTGTGATAGATACTACTCATAATATGGCTTATAAGTAGTATGCAACGAAGTGTCGCCCTAGAAGTTGCTACCGGAGAGAAGAATGTCGTGCCAAAATGCATGGACATGAATGTTCGTTTTGTCAATAAACTGTGACTTCTTCACTTACTTTACTTACGCCTGATATCCCCAACGGAGCATAGGTTGACGACCAGCATTCTTCAACCTACTCTGTGCTGGGTCTCCCTTTCCAGTTCTGTCCAAATGTTGTTCATTCTTCTCATATCTGTCTCCGTTTCTTTGGGCAATGTGTTTTTTGTTCTCCCGATTTTTCTATGTGATATGTTGGCCAACTGATATGCTTGAATGCTATTACGAGTTCACCTCACTCGGTAAACGGAGCGAAGAGCAATGGCTCAGTGACACGATAAGCTATTCTAATCCGATTTTCCCAGGCTCTGCTAACTAGAGCAAGAAGCCTTGATAAGGCGTAGAGAATATATTCTACAAGAACCCAGGAAGGTTGAGATTGCTAAGCACACAAATCGAGCTTATTTATACAATCATAGAAACCGCCTTGATGAGAGTCACAAAATAGTGTACTAAAATAATCCATCAACCTATGACAGACAAGGATTTTCCGAGGGAGAATTGTCAGCTGGCGCAAAAAATTGGAACTTCTAAGTTTCAGAATAAAATTACAAAATTAGGACATTGCCGAATGAGTTCTGGGGATCTAACGTCCCCAACACTTCGTCCTTGAGGATTCCAAGTAATGGCTTGTCTAGTGATGCGGTTGGGTACTTTCCGCAATTTGTGTCTTATCCACTATTATTCTATCTGGTCTTGATGTCATCGTTCATTACATCAGTACTACACACTCATAAGTACTACTGTTGAACTTTCTGTGTTTTGCAAAAATAAGTCAAATATTTCCAGCAAAATATCAAAAATAAATCCTTTAATTTTGGATTTGACATTTCATATATTCGATTGACATTAGAATTTGATCAATCATGAGTCGATCGATGTTAGACCGTCATTAGATACCTGGAAGCACTGAGAGACCATTTAGTACTCGTATCGAAAGCCTCAGCCGTGCACATTAGTGATCCGACAAGCAGGAGTCGTACTCAGAACTTCCTGTCACTTACCTGAATGCGTAATCTTTAAACGAATTGATGCGGTCACTTCATCTATCTGTTCTTCAGGAAAAATAGATTACATTGAGTCATATATATATATATATATATATATATATATATTACGAGTTTACCTTAGTCAGTAAACGAGAGTGAGCATCGACGATCCGGAGGCACGACAGACTACTCCAATCCGAGTGTCCCAAACCCCCATTAAGTAAAAGATGAAGACTTGATATGCAGTAGAACTTGTATTCTACAAGCATCCAGAAACTACGAGGTTGGAGTCCAGAAGAGAACCAGAATCCCGGATTAGGGATTAGGATCCGGGTCATAAAACCTTACAGTTAATGAGTATTCATACATTTAGGTCGATTAGGAATCAACATTGATGTCCGCGACAATGACAGTTAAGACGACCAATAGGAGAAAACATTTGAAATGACATTGATAATCAGGACGACCAATAATAAAACAACATTGAAGTCTGTGACATTGATAACTAGGACAACCATCATATTGACCAATAGAATTTTTCACTTACAAAATGAAAACTTACTTGTATACCAGCTTCTTTTAATGCTTTTATACAATTTTTTACACCAGGTTGTAATTTATCTTCAATACCAGTTACACCAATCGGTTCCATATCCGATTCAATTTCGTAATAACATTTTTTTAATGCATGTATACGTTCATTGCCAATTAAACCGGAAGCTGATTTAAAATTATTTACTAATTTCATGTAAACATCTTGATTCAATTGTCGCTTAGCAAATACAAGTGTACGTAATCCACTAAGGGCATATTGATTCACATAATGTATAGCACGAGTACGTTGATAACCCGATCGAGCATTGCATCGCTTTTAATAGAAACATACAAGATAACCATGAGAAAACAATCATACTAATAAAAGAGTGATTTTTTTAAATCAAAGATTATTCAATCAATAAACTGATATACTTAGTGGATAGGACAAACATTAAGGAAAGCATCCAACTGCGTCATAAGACAAGCCCTCACTTGGAATCCACAAGGCCAAGCAACACAATAGGCCGAGAAGGCGAAGCCCAGGACAGAGTAGGTCGGAGAATAATGGTGGGCGACCTATGCTTCATTGAGGGAGTAACGGGTGCAAGTGCATAATTAAGCAAGTAAGTGAGTGAGTGAGTAGGTAAGTAAGTAAGTGAGTGAGTAAGTAAGTATGTAAGTAAGTGTGTGAGTGAGTGGGTGGGTAAGTAAGTAAGTAAGAAATATAAATGTGTACATATACGTGTATGATTAAAATGTGTGCATTTTTAAAATTCCCTCAGAAAGCTACTTATCATATATAAATGTGAACCATCCTAGTTTATCATGCAGAAGAATCAGGGTCATCCAATGTTAGTGATCAATTTTTATGATATCTTAGCAGGATTTGACAAATGAATATTTGAAATGCGATCATGTTTTAATCAAAGATTTGTGAATATGTTTTGTCATGAATAAAACAAGGTGATTTTCGTTTGATGACTGTCAGTTATTTATCTACAGTTGACAAAAAATCGTGATGATAAATACTCTTGAATTTTATTATCACTGCGTAAATGGCGATCTGCTTGAATATTTGGGCTACCTGTTTATTGTCGTTTGTTTTAACACGTTAATTATGTTTATTGATCGTATAAACTATTCAGGCGCGTATATAAAAAACCCAATTACGAGCTATCGTTTCAAAAGGTATAAAAAGGTACAATTCAAGATATATTGGTGGCTAGAGATTTACTGAGAAATAAATGAGCGTTGATGTGAGCGCGACTCATGAACTTCTCATTAGGCACGTACATGTTGTCTAGTTTGTCGCACAGGACGGTTGGATATCCAGTCAGGTTCCGAATGAACAGGAATCCCTGTACAGGTTCTTAACTCAGTGTCTTCAACCAGTCCACTACCCTCACTCTCCAGCCAGCCAGAGCAGCAAGGCAGGTATACATAGCTAGATCTGGAACTCCGTGCAGGTTGCCGAGGCTCCTAAGCTGTGTACTAACCAGCAGCCGCTCTAAATAGCTGGCCTCCAGCTCCTTCACATACAGGATAATAGACGAACACCCTCAAAATCTCATTCGAAGCCAAGGATCGACCATTTCGCAAGGTCAACCAGAATGTATACTTTCCCATGAAGTATATATCACATACCTGACCGAGAGTAAGTATTCAGCAAAGCTGGGCTCTTCCCATCACGATGGATGGGAAGAAATCACGTGCAGTCAAGCGTTAGTGAGCACAGGACCCCACCACCCAACTGGAGACCCTTGTTTTAGGGGCCTTGGCACACTACACCAAAGCTAAAAGCGTTCATGGAACCATATAGGGTTGGACGTCCATAATCTAGGATGTGTACGGCTGCTTCCCTGAACATAGTCCAAGGCCGCCGTAAGAAGGCTGGGACTACAACCCCTTTAAAGGTATTTGCTGTGGTCAAATCATAAGTTCCATAAAATGTCGCCCCTCCAAAAACTCCTTTGAGTTTCAGGCGGCATTTGGCCTCACCTCAGTAAGCAACGCCACTTCACCTAGCGGGAGAACAAAGAGATAGTTGCCACCACAACTCCCCGAAAGCTCCATTTATGCCACATATTCCTCAATTAGATGACAAGACATTTGGTTACCTTAAGAGAGTTACTGTTACTCTCGCATTAGTAAGTGAGATTACAGACATTCACTACAAGACAATAACAAATATAAAACTGTTCACTATAATCCATTTTAAAGTACATCTTTCTTAATCTGACAGGCTGAGTGATAACATCTCAAACTATGAAGCTGGTTGACACAAGGTTGAATCTGTCTCAGTTTCCTCAAGGTTTCATGTACAGTTTGATGACATGTTCTGAATAACACAAAACTTAAGTCCACGTGTAGTGTACAGGGAAGTCGAGAGAGTTTACTCACAAAATATGTACCCATAAACCTCAGAAATCCATTTACAATGCAAGCAGCTTATTGACAGTCTCTTTCAGTACACTCAGATCAATTGATGCATTTCAATCTCGTGATAGATAATCTTCTCTCTGATAGAAACTTATTAGTGACACTTCGCTGCATACTACTTATATTCAAGTTTGTGAGTAGTATCAACTTCCTGCTACCATCATCATCTTACATTATTCATTATTTGATGAGTAGTCAAGTGTAAATTGTTTGCAATCATGTGACTGACTCATGCATAACTGTGTCATACACATTATAATCCGTAAGACAATTGGATTTCACGTGTTAATGGCAGGCAATAAAATCAATACAAATATTATTATCACTACTTATTGTCAATGTGATAAATTGAAGATACGGAGAATTTGTGGAGATTGTATTTAATTTACAGTTGAAATCACCAATTGATCTAAACTAGATCATTATTTAGAAACTTGAAAGTTAGAAGATATTCACACCGTTGAATGTTGGTTTAGTTGGCCCAAGAAGTTATGAGTTCCATACTAGGACTTAATGGTCGTCCAGCCCTTCTAGATTTTTTATATGGTAGTCTAGCTCAGATGATTTGGGGATTTCAACGATGAAAATTGAAAAGGGAAATAGGTAAACAGTGAAAGAAGATTTATGAAAACCGACAATTATCAATTAACCCTGTAATGGCAAGAGTTATTGTACATTGGTTTTCACAGGAGAATCAAGGAGACTGCCCACGTGTTAACATTTCGACGTGAACAGGTCGACTCAATCCCGTGGTACCTGACACGTTGGTGGACCATTCACATCACTTATATACACTAGTACATATATATAGTGATTATTTCCGATCCATGATCGCGTAGTCAATCGATGTGCACAGTATGAACAGGCCATTTCGACCTACCCGGTTTACATGACTGTCTCAAACTGATGATTATTAGCAGTGGTGATATGCAATACAGCACCGCAATAACAATGACCATCGGGAATGTTGTAAGATAAACATCAGTATCAATGGAGTCAGTCACACTGAGCGACATGTCTCAAAATCATTTGTAATGGGAGAGATGAATCCATTCTTTGTATCCTCTCAAATTCTGATCTTCTGAATTCCTCATGACTTCCATCTTTCTGTTCTCAAATTTATTTCACTGGATTATATTTCTTAAATCATATCTTGGGGTCGTGATCTTTATGATTACTGCTCATACTTCTACTGCCTCTACTACTATGGGTTTTGAATGGGCAGCTGCATCTCTCTATTTGCTATTGTGGTATGGCAACCTGAAATGATATACTTACGTACATACGAAATTCTACGTTGTTGCTGACTGACTGATTGACTGACAAATTTTCGTTCACGCACAAGACCGAAGGTCCTGGGTCCGAATCCTGCGGGGTGCAGAAGTCGTGGATGAGAACTGCTGATGAGTCCCATACCAGGACGAAAATGCCGTCCAGTGCTTCCAAGTTTCTAATGGTGGTCTGACATTGATCGATTCATGGTTTCAAAATGTGTAACTTAACAACCTTCACAACCACGTAATGTAATCAGACAATTATCAACACATCCTCTAATTCATCGTCATAATCTTCTATATTATGAATTGATGAAAGGTTAGAAATGTCAATTATTGGATGTTTCAACTCCAATATCTGAATATCCAACGTTCACTCTCGGACAGCAGTTCCACTATCTTGGAATTTCCTACAAAGCTTTAAATAAATTTTCAGTAAGCAATATATATTTTTTCTAAGTAAACGCGAACTTTAAATGAGAATCATTTGTTGAACATTGAATAAACAAAAAAATCAAATCGATATTACCTCAGGATCTAACATGGATGTTTCTGCTCCTTTACTCAATACATAATAAGTTCCGTCAGGATAACGTACCATTACACTCATACGTTTACGTATTGAATCAAATTCCAATATGGCGTCAACAATGAAACATTCACGATTGATAAATTCATCATCAGTCGGTTCTTGCATTTCACTCGGTGAATATGACCAATAATCAATGTACAATCGATTTGAACCAGCCTCATTTAAATCCGGTTCTTTGCCTGAGAATACAACACCAAGTTTTGCAGCACCTTCAACTAAGGCTTTCTCATCAGATGATGCTGCCTAAAAATATTTTTTTTTTTAAAAAAATAGAGATAGACTTTTACGATAATAAAAATGACACAAGAATGTTTCATGAAAAGAGGTATTATAAATTGATTGGAACAGTGGGTCGATCATTATTAAACCTGCTCTAGAAATCTGGAAGCATTATACATCTGTTTCGTTGTAGTAGGGGAACCATCAGTGACAGAGTGCACCTACAATCCACCCACATGTGAATCAAACTCAAGACCATTAGACCTCTAGACTACCGAGTCGTCATCCAACGGTGTTAACATCCAACGTTAGTCAGTCGAAGGTATTGTGCAATCTCACCCAATGTAATCGGTGGGTAATGCCTCACACCCAACAGAGTAGACCTATTTGCTTACTTACTTACTTACTTACTTGCTTACTAAGTAAGTAAGTAAGTAAACATAAAATGATATTCATCAAAGATACTCACGAAATCTCAGCACGTATACAGAACGCTCGACTGGCCTTTTACAATCTGCGTTACCTATGCAGCAGGCAAGATATCCATTCGCTAATGAAAGTACGAGCGTACTGTGCAGCAGTACGCTCCGTCCTACAATATGGATGCGAAACATGGCCGTAAAGAGTAGAGGACTTGCGTAGGTTACTAGTCTTCGGTCATCGATGTCTATGAAGCATTGCTCGTATATCATGGGACAACCGAGTAAGCAATGCTGTTGTTAGGTAACAAGTTCTAGGGATGACAGATCAATAGATGAAGTAGTGAAATGTCATCACTTGAGGTGGTTGGGATATGTGTTACGTGTGGCTAACCATCGAATGCCTCGACGAGCTATGTTTTGTGGTGTAGGAGTGGGTTGGAAGAAAGCTAGGGGCGGCCAGACCAAAACATGGCACAAATGCATGAAGTCACTGACAAGTGGATTGAGTCATGCTGGTAGATGTAGACTACCTGGTTGGGATCCGCGAGATGATAGTCACCGATGGTTAAAGACCTTGATCGACATGGCTCAAAATCGTTTGCAGTGGTGCAGGTGCATCCACTCTTTGTGTTCTCGCCAATTCTAACCTTCTAAATTCCTCATCATCTCTATATTTCCCCTTCTAAATTTATCTCAGTGACTTATACTTCTCGTATCATATCTTCGAACCTGTAATCTTCTCCATTACCGCTAATACTTCTACTATTGCTATCACTCTTGGATTTGAAGTGATAGTTGCGTCTCTGTGCTTATGGGGCGTGGCAACCTGAACTGATGTACTTACTTACAAAGTTCTGCGTTTTATCTGTCTCTCTGTCTAATGCTTCTCCCGGTTTTATTTAATTTCAGTCAAACGTAGCTTGCTTAACAAGAAAACATGCGTAGACAGAAAACACACTAATACTTTCAAACCAAGTCACAAGTAGTATCTAAAAATTCAATTAAACTTATGATGATATAACTGTAATAATGGGCAGTGTTCGTGATATAAATGCACTATTTGCTAATAACCCTACCAAACTGGCTACTTCAGCGAGAAGGTAAGAGTGAAATATAAAATGTATTTGGCCACCGAATCATATATATATATATATATATATATATATATATATATATATACATCCCCGTTAGAGAATGAATCCATTTTTTTGACCAATGATATGCATTCGTCCTTTAACAGATTGTCATCAAATGACCTTCTCGTTTGTCCACTTCTGATTGGCTCATGATATGTAAAACTGTACATTAAGGCCTAAGTTTATCAGAATTGAGAAAATCTGAAACGTGAGTGATAAATACTCATTTTCTTGTTATGCAACTTTTGTTTATGTTACACAAGCACAATGAAATTGTTTTATTACAGTTATCGTTGTTTTTTGGAAAATATGTCAAGGTGTCAATGTGTCAAGAGTTTGAACTAGAACTAGTAGCGTTGAACTATTCAAATATTATTCAAATCAAGATTTCTAAATTTACATATAAATACATATCACTTAACTCTTCAATAAATGTAATAGGAAAGAGTTTTTTTTAGGTTTTTTTAGTGTTAGACTACCATTAAAAACCCAGAACCACTGGACGTTCATTTCTTTCAAGTAAGTGACTCATCAACAGTACGCATCCACGACACCTACATGCGGGAATCGAACCTAGGGCCTTCAGTCTCATGAATTAACACTTAAACTCCAGAACACTGAGCCACATTATTCAACGGTGTTAATGTGTAATTTCAACCTGCGTGGGTCCATGATGGACATTTCCACTGATAAGTTCCGTACTAGGACGAAACGGCCATGCAATGCTTCCAGATTTCTAAAAGTGATAGTCTAACAATGATTAATTCATGATTTTCAATGAATTAGTTTTGAAAGATTAATTGCTTCCTTAAGCCTACAAAACTCTAAGAGATTTCATTACTTTCCGAATGAAATTCTGTCGATTAACATAGACTGTCTCTTACTTAGTTGATAAGTGATTTGATTTAATGTCTGTAGTATAGATAAATCACATATAACAACAGATAGCATCAGAGTATTCACTCAGCGGAGTTCTTAGGACAATAGAGATTGGTTTGAGTCGAAGGACTGCGACTAGAGTTAGTCGTAGAGATAAGAGAGATATTAGGGGGTGTAGGAAGGATTTGATTTTGAACAATTTGGTCTCGTGTGTTGTTACGGGTATGAGGGCGGTTGTCACTTCCCTTCTGCCCACACCGTGGAACGTTGTTTCTTGAGGGACCTGAAAAGGAAAGTAGATTAGTGTTGGTCTTGGAGACCTAGGTGCGTGACCATAGAGTTCAAGGGACAACTGTTTGAGGCCGGTCACGCACGACCTTTTGATAAAAGGTATTTTTAGTATTAGCTCTGCTCTTAAAAGCCATTAGTGGGCACCCTTACCCAAGGAGACGGAAATCCGTGAGGTAAGGTGAGGTGTGACATTTTTAAGGTCGACCTTTTATGACCAGCATCGCTGTAGATGCTGGTTGTCCGAGGGAAACACTTTACTGCTGTCACACCCCTCTGCAGTCAACAGTACGACTTTGCCCTCAGAACTTGAGTAGCTGCTTTTAGTCTCATCGTTCTCCAACCGACCTGTCTGGCATGGTAGAACCTTCAGGAACATATGTTCCAGCCAGTATAGCTCGGTTGGGTCATGAAGATAGTCAAGCCCGACCACCACGTGTCAAGGTAGCAGATACGGTCGGGAGAGATTGGTCTAAATCACAGTAAAGAGATATTATCGCTTACAAGTAATGCTAAGTATGAGATGGATGGTTATTCTATTCTAGTTTGTAGTGCACCCATAACTCCCTTGAAGGTCAAACTCCAAACCTTCATTTAGTGCGTGCTAGCTGTTTACCCGTAGAACATCAAGCAGGCATTGAGTAGTGTACAAGTCTAAATTTAGATGAATACAACGTACTAAGGGACCATTTTTTAATAATCTGCGCTAATCCTTTAACTGTTAGCCATATTGAAATTCCATTGCTTCAGCTGTAAAATAGGCACTGCCCGCCCACCTTAGACAATGGACTATATTTGCATTAAGTTACAAACTGATTAAAATCTAAATAGCGTAAACCATTAGATACTTGCTCAGTGATCTAGAAGAACTGTAGTTCTTGCGATCGATCTCACTGATGAAGTTGTGTATACACTCTACTCATGCTCATATCTTATCCGGAATTATATTCAGTCAGCGACAACGTTAGACTTGATATGTACGTGCATCGGCTCAAGTTGCCGTACCACATTCATACACAGAGATGGAATTTTCAATTGAAGTCTCATAGTAGTAAAGGTAGTAAGAAGTATTAGCAGTAATGGAGAAGATGAGTAATTCGAAAGATTAGAATTTAAGAAAAGCATAAAGGATGGATGCATCTGAGTGATTGCAAACAATTTTGAACCATGTAGTTCAAAGTCACGAACTATCAGTCTTGATTGTCTACTTCTAGCAACATATCCCAGTCCGATTGTCAATAATTTCATAGATTTGTGCCATGTTTTGGTTTGGTCGCTCCAAACTTTCTTCCAGCCTACTACTACTACATCAGACAACATCTCTCGACGAGTTAGTCGTTGGTTCGGTATATGTAACACATTTCCCAATCATCTCAACTGATGAAGATTCTCCACTGCATCAATTTGTCCACGATCT